TCTATTCTGTTTAATTGGCCTATTTGAATATTCCTCTCTTTTAATTTCTATAGCTTTATAATAAATACTAGAGGCCTGGTGCACGTATTCGTGTACAGGTGGGGTTCCTTGACCTGGCTAGCGATCAAGGCCTATGAGGGTGTGTGGGGGGGTGGCCAGTGAGGGGGAGGGACCCCAGAAGGTAGGCCGGCCAGGGGGAGGAGCAGCAGAAGGTTGGCCGGTTGGCCCCCCAATCAGGGCCAATCAGAGGGGCCGGCTAAGGGGAGGAGCCATGGGAGTTGGCTGTTGGAGTGCACTGATCACCAGGGGGCAGCTCCTGCATTGAGCATATGTCCCTTGGTGGTCAGTGTGCATCATAATGACTGATCGACCGGTCGTTCTGGTTGTTCCAGTCTTTTGGCCATAATGGCTGCTTAGGCTTTTATTTATATAGATTGTTCTCTGGTAGAATAAGTAATTTCTTCAAAAAGTTGCCTTAGCTCGAATTTTGAGATAAACTTGTCAAGTTCACTATTAATTTTTGTTTCTGAATCTTATAACCAACTACCTTTCTGCACTCCCTTATTAGTTCTACTACTTTTGTTGTTGTTGTTAATCCTCATCAGAGGATATTTTTTCCGTTGATTTTTAGAGAGAATGGAAGGGACGAAGGGAGGTGGGAGAGAGAGATAGAGAAAAACATTGATGTGAAAGAGACACATCAATTAGTTGCCTTCCACACTGAGGGTGGGGGATCAAATCTGCAACCCAGGTATGTGCCCTTGACCAGCAATTAAACCCTCGACCCTGTGGTGTACTGGCCTATGCTCTACCACTTAGCACACAGCCAGTGCTAGTGCTACTACTTTTTACTAGATTCTTTTGGGTTTTCTGTGCAGACAATTATATCCTTTGCAGATAACGGCAATAGCATTCATTTTTCTTTTTCTTAATATATTTTTATTACTGATTTCAGAGAGGAAGGGAGAGAGAGGTAGAGAGATAGAAATATCAATGATGAGAGAGAATCATTGACTGGCTGCCTCCTGAATGCCCCACACTGGGGATGAGCCCACAACCTGGGCATGTGCCCTGACTGGGAATTGAACTCTGACCTCCTGGTTCATAGGTCGATGCTCAACCACCGAACCACACCAGATGGGCGGCATTCTTCTTTTCTAATTCTTATCCCCACCCCCCCCTCCCCGTTGTCTTATTATGGTAACTTCTAGTACAAGTTGAATGGAAAGGATGACAGCAGACATTATGACCTTATTTTTGCTTTAAAAACGACAAAGCACCAACTCTTCTTTAATCGTCATAGTGGGATTCCCACTCATTTCTTTAGGAACTTCATTGTTGTTTTTTAAAATTTATCTTTATTGTTGAAAGTTTTTCAGATGTCCCCCCCTCTCCCCTAGTGACCCCCTCCTCCCCACTCCTTTTCCCCTCCCCAGACCTTTCCCCTCACTATTGTCTGTCCAGGGGTTATGATATATGCATGTAAGTTCATTGGTTAATCTCCCCCCTCCCCTTTCCCTCTGAGATACTTCAGTCTGTTGCATAGAAACTCCATTGTTTACCCAAGGAATCTGCCTCACCCAAGATCTGCCCCTTCTCCCTGGCAGACCTTTCCCTGTTGTTGAGGAAGGCATCTAGGTGAGTGTCCTGCAGTGAGGGGTGGCTATTGTCATTCTCGTTCCCACAGAGAAAGCCCAGGATGAAGACTTCCTTAGAGATCTTCTCCCCATCTGCGTAGTTTGCGGGCGAACCTCTTCACCCTCCAGATTTCACAGTGAGTGGCTGTTGAAACAGGTGGAAAGGCATGTGACGATGTGTTCTCTCTCTGTGTCTCTCTGTCTCTGTCTCTCCCACTCCTCCCCCCCCCGCCCCCCCTCACTTCCTCCCTCTCTCCTCTTTCCTCTCTCTCTAAGGACAGGTGATAATTGTCAGAGACATTTAAAACCCAAAAGGAGACAGAATAGCATTTTCCTTCACACCTCATAATTTTAAAAGCCACCTCTCCTCAGTGGAGTTAAACTTCACATTTTTATGTGGAAGGTCACTGACTCCTTTCTTTTGTCTCAACTTCAATCTTCAGACTGTGCACCTGGGTTGACTGGGAGTAAGGAACAGCACTACCTCTAAATACCTCTTCCCTCAGCTCTGCAAAGCCAACTTAGAAAAGCTCTGGAAGTGCCACATTGTGTCAATTAAAGTCTTAGCCACGGGCTACCCTCTTTTCCTCTCTGAGATGGGGAGACTGTGGTTTTCTTCTTTCCATCCCATAATAATGTTATAGAACAGATGAGCTGCAGCTTTTAAGTTCAGTTGTTGTTTTTAATAAGGAAAAAAAAAAGACTGCTCCCCTAGACATGTGACCCCCAAAAGTGTGGGCTGTGGGTTAACTAAGTGTGTGCACCCATTGCAGATCTTTCTTTCCAAGGGGTTTCAATTTGTATCAAAGTGGCAGACTTGTGTAGGAGGCCGGGCAGCACGGATGCTGCCAGAAGAGTCAAGTTGATCAAGTCAAGTCCTGAACACCATGGTTTCATTCAACTAGCACTTCAAGATATGTCTTGTGAGGTTTCAACTCAGGAGGTTATATAGTAAATTCTCATTATTCGCCGTAGTCAGGTTGTATGAAGTCACCGTGACAACTAGTTACTGATTCCTCCTAGGGGAAATACAGGGTTATGTTTCTGTGAGCCTCTGGCACAACACTTTTGTTAGCCAATCAATACATAATCTTGTTTGATGTGTGTTTCTATTTAAAGACACACTGTTAATATATATTGTTGATTCATTAACACTAAATTCATGGCCACCATCACTATAACTCATGCCTCAACGAAACTATCTAACACATGTTTTCTTCTTCTTGCATTTAGGAGCACTGGACAACCCTTCAGTTATCAGTTAAGCAGAAAAACCACCAACAAAAAGCATAAAAATGCAAAGCCCCGACCACATGACACTGCATAAAACATGAAAAAGACACTGGTTTGTAGTATGAGTAGTGGATGTGCAGGAGGCAGCTGATCAATGTTTCTCTGTCATCATTGATGTTTCTTTCTTTCTCCCCCCTCTCTCCCTTCCTCTCTAAAATCAGTAAAAATATATTAAAAATTTTATTTAAACAAATACACTGCAAACTTATTCTTTGAACAATTCCTGGATGAAGGTAAGTATCTTGTGCTTCCAACAGCTACTCACTTCTCATCAAGGACTTCCAGGTGGAGTAGGGGTGCGGGGAACTAACCACATTAAATGATGAAATGAATGACATAGTGGTTTCAACATGCTTCCACATGTCAAGACTCACAGAACATTGCACCCAAGAAGGTGATGATATAGGTGCCTTCTTATTTCCTGTCCTTCCCCCAATTTGATTCCACCTCTTCTATCTTCTCTTAGAAAAGGTGCCAAGATATTAAAAGGATAATTGGTAATGGGGAGGTGTAGGTGAAACACTCTGGTTTAGGAATTCCTAGATTTCTAAGGAGAAGTCATCCTGGATTTATTATATAAAAGCAGATCCTGTGAAGATGAAGGATGAGGAAGCAAGTACTTGGCTTCCAATGTGTTTTCTGACTTTTTCATGGCCTGAGAGGTTTGATAAGTGAGTTTAGGTGGAAGAGAACTCAGCTACGCTTTAAATTGACATCAATATTTTAGTCACTGTTCTTTTAATACAGCCATGAATCAATATACCTAAATAAAATTTTATCTGGTCTATAATTCTCCATCTTCCCACAAGGCACTCTTAAGAAGTGGTCTCAGAAGTTAAACTAAAACATGGAAAAGATAAAACCTTGACATTCCTGAAGGATCCATTTTAGATCTTTGGGAATCCTCAATTGTATGACTAGCACAATAGCATATAATATTTTCCGTAAAATGTAATTTTTTCACAGACTAGAATATTTGCTGAAAGTGTCATGAATCACTTCTTGTTTCTGTATAAAGCTTATATTCTATTCATTCATGCCATAGGTTGGAATAATCAAGTACATCATTATATTCTTTAAATTTATCTGAACTTCTATTGTTTGGTTCAGAACTATCATTTTCTTAGAAGATTCTGAACCTCTCACATAATAATATCTTCATTTTTTTCTTCACTTTCAACACCAGGGAGTCATTGGATTTCATTTAGAGGGCTTTTTAAAAATTTTTTTTTAAAAAAATTGATTTCTGAGAGGAAGGGAGAGGGGGAGAGAGATAGAAACATTAATGATGAGAGAGAATCATTGATCAGCTGCCTCCAGCATGCCCCCTACTGGGGATTAAGCCCACAATCTGGGCATGTGCCCTTGATCAGAATCAAACCTGGGACCCTTTAGTCTGCAGGCTGATGCTCTATCCACTAAGCCAAACCGGGGAGGGCAAGGGCTTCTTTTTTTCCATTAGAGATATGGTCTTTGATTATTTCATGAGAGCAACTGGATATACAATGTTGAGTAAAGAGCAAGAAAGTTCTATTGACATGGGGCTGCCATGTGGTTGGCGAGGCCTAGAGGTGTGCAAGACAGAAACTTCCAGCTCTCAAAATAACAAATGATTACGTTATGATATTTGCCATTTCATATGAACAAAGTCACAAATATCAAAGCTGTCAATATCAACTGTACTTTCCTATACTGGCTTATTGTTTTGAGTGCTATTTCAGAAGATCTGGATCTAGATCCTGTGTGACCATTTTCATTCCTATCATGTGTTTCCAGTGTGACGGCTTCTTTTCTTCTCTTCTCCCCAACCCAGTTCGCAATCTCTTGCTGCCTCTTCAACATTGTTATATGTGCAAGGCTGGCTGACACTGTACTTGGATATACAAGAAAAACATAGCTTCTTGACTTTTTCTGTCTCTGGTCAAAGCTTCATGAAACTTTGTCTCATTGGGAAGTGGAGAAGCAAACTTAAACTCAGCTATCAATGAAAAATGGTCTTTTTGAACGTAAATAGAATCCCTTCAGTTTAAATCATCCACTTTCTGACAAATGAAGTCTTTTTGCATTTCAGCTCCTTCCCAATACTCCTTTCTATTATGGTGGAGCTTCCCATGACCTCATGTTGGAGGAGGGCAGAAGGAAGACTGAGACTCACACACTGTTACGTGGATTCTGGATTCTTGCTGGCTCTACTGATGGATGGACTTCAGAGGAATAAGAGGTGCCATTTGGTCTTTTGTGGTCTATGGTTCTGAATACTTGTTCTTGATTGCAAAGGCCCCACATGTAATGGCCTCTCTGGCCCAACCTCAGGCTTCTGTCCACCCATTTATGGGAAACATAAACATTCATGGATTCCTGCCTGCTGAGGGGTGTCAAGGCAATGCCTTGGACTCCTCTATCTTGCCGTCTCCTCCACTGCTGCTTACCATGTCTCTGGGCCATTATACAGGCTCTTCTTAGAGGTTTGGGTCCTCCCCCAGTGAGCCCACGGAAGGTTCTATTGGTGCCTCCCTACTCCATGATCTTAGGTTTCCTTATACCTTTGATGTTTCTATTGTATCCCCACCTCCAATGGCTAGATTTAGCCCCTGAAGAAGAATGCAAGGACAAGTGCATCTGGTCTTCAAGTAACTTTTGCTTCTTTCTTTCCCAGCACCTTTGGGACTGGAGGGAATGGGGGTCTATTTTCTCCTTCCTTTATGGAAGGACTTTCCTTGCACCATAGTTTTCTTCTTGAGGGTCATTAAACATCCTGGCTCAGTCATGAGGGTGAAAGGGCATCATCTCTACACTATGGAAGACATCATACGATTTGAGATGGCCAGGTAAAATAGGGAGTACACGATACCAGGGACTTGGGATCACAGAAAATAAAAATGATTTGATAATCCCAAAATATTATATCCATTATACATGACACAATGTTCTGGATTCATTTAGGAGAAATTCTGTTCCTAGAATTAATTATGCTAAAAACAGCAATTAGTATCTGTTGACTGCTTATGATGTTCTAGGCATTTTTCTAAAATATCTATTTAATCCATATAATTCCTATGATGTAAGTACTATTATTCCCATTTTACATACGAGGAACTAAGACCTGGGTAAGTTATCTTTCCCAATTCACATGGCTAAGTTAGACTCACTATTTGAACTCAATTCTGTGTGATTGAATTCCAGGCTCTTCCAATCCACCCCCACATCCTGCCTCTTTCTTTGCCCTGATCTTCAGTCTGCTGCCTGGATCTGTTCCTCCCCTAAAAGCTCTGCATTCTGTGTACCCATCAGATCAAATGATTTGCTGTCCCACTTATATTCCATATCATTTTCCCTCTTCTATGAGTTTACTTATTGGATTCCCTAGGCCTGATACCTTCTCTCCACCATTAACTATCTTCAGCGTCTGCCTAACTGTCCCATCCTAATCCTCTGATCCCCATGGCTGAAAGGAATCTAAAGGATTCCTTTAGATGTCTTCTAAATTCCTTCCATTTTTGTGCATACAGTGCCTCAATTTCAAATATATTATTTCGAGAGTCACCTTGAAATTCAAGCTTGCATCTTCATTATCTTTGTTGCTGCACAGCAGCCAGCACAGAGACCAGGTGAGTGGGTGGGAGGCCCTTTACTGCACACACTGGACTATCCCTGCAGCAGAGTTTGGTCAAAGGATTATGTCAGGATCTTGCCTAGGAGCTGGATCCAGAGCAGGGAACCCAAGGTCAGCATTAAATGAGATTCCTGGAGGCGACCTCTTTCATCCCAGCTTGTGACACAGGTCATAAAGGGATACCAACAAAGGCATACAAGGACCTTGTGCCTACATGGCTTTCTGTTCCAGGGCCTGACCTCCCTGCTTCTTGGAGGCAACCCTCTGCTACCTTCCTGTTCAGTGATTACTCATTCTTTCTAAGTTCCAATGAATGCCTCACCCCTCACCAGTTTGTTGTATCTGAAGGAAGTGTCACATTTCCCCCCATACTAGTTTATCTCTGGGATAAACTGTACTGTTTTTGGAGCCCTTTAAGTATCTGTAAAGGAGTAAGTGGTTCAAGCAACCCTAGGAGGTAATGTGCACCTGGTTGGTGGACCTCGCGAGAGAGGCTGACCGAGTGACCAGAGACATTTGGCTATTGGGAGGCGTGAAGAATGACCTGTACTCGGGGTCAGCAGTAGTAATGTGTGAAGAATGCACTCTGTATCTTTTGTGGTCCCAGGCTTGCTTTGTCTTTAAATGTGAGCAAACTCTCTCCCACCACCTGCTTTTCCTGGGGCTAGTGTTGCCTCTCATCACAATATGCCATCCCACATGGCTCCAGAATCACTTTCAAATAGCTCCCTCTACATTAACATAAAATGTGTTTAGACCTCCACCAACGGGACATATCTCTCATCCAGGAGAAAGGCAGAAACACTGGATTGGTCCTGGTATAATTCTCGCTCATTTCTCTGGAATCCTGGAGTCTGGGTTATGAAATCACTTAACTCAGATGGAATGCACTCTTTGCTTGCCAGAGGGAGGGAAGCTATCTTTTGCGCAGGTGAAGATTCTCCCATGAGGTCAAAAACAGCTTAAATGGCCCTTTAAGCATTCTTAGAGAGGGACCCCCTCCTTTGGACTCAAAGGGAGGCAGTTACCGAGTTCAGTTTACCGAACCAGAGTGAGGCCTTGGGCCAATGTTATGGTCCCAGCAAGGATTAGCTGTGCATCATTAAGTAAGTGATTCCCTCATTTGGAATTCATATCTTCTCGTCTAAGAAAGAAGTGAATTGAGTTATATGCCCTTAAGTCTTTTCCTGTTCTGGTGTCCTATTGGTGTGTGTGTGTTTGTGTGTGTGTGTGTGTGTGTGTGTGTGTGTGTATGTGTGTTTGTATCTTCTTGAGCCCAGTGGAGAAATAATAGCTAAATTGAAGAGATCAGTTTCAAAGCTATCATTTCCTCCTAGAAATAAAACTCACTTTAAGTTTTCTAATCACCTCCCATATGTCACATTCTCCCTTGTAAATCTG